CTCTCTCTGCATACTGAGAATCAGTAACTATATTAAGAGGTTCTGTAAAATCCTTAAGTACCATGAGAATTGCATATAATTCTGCCTTCTGTACAGATGTATATGGACTTTGAACTACTTTACTTACCTCACCTGCTTTATTACCTGCCTTACCAGACTTGTTGGCATCAGTGTAGAAAGTAAGAACTCCAGAAATGGGAGTTTGTCTTACAATACATGGAAGAATCCAGACTGTCTTTTTTATGAATTTAATTCTGTCAGTTTTGGGATAGTTGTTGCTAATTGTTCTCAAAAAGTCAGTAAGAACTATCTGCCAGTATTAATTATCCTTCCCAAAAGAAGAAATTTCTTCATTAGTTAAAGGTAATATAATTTCTGCTGGATCTTTTCCAGTCAGTTGATGGAGCCTTAATTTGCCCTTAAAAATCAAATCAGAAATATTTTCTATATATGTCTTTAACTTTTTATTCTGTTTATGTGGCAGAAATATCCATTCCAATATAGTGTCTTCCCTCTGCATCAGAATCCCAGAAGGGTATTCTCTGGATGGCAAAATAACCAGAATAGAGTCTAAATTAAGGTTTATTCAATCTACATGCACATCCAATATTCTGTTTTCTACCCATTGTAACTCTTTCTGCCTCGGCAGATAATATTCGTGGACTGTTTAGGTCTTTATCATCTTTATGGGCCATTTTTAAATGCTTTAAGTCATGTCCTTCTATCCCAATGATCATCTGGCATTGAAAAATTTCCCATATTAATTTCTGAAGAGAATTAAGAGTTTGACAACAATCCCTTCTAATTTGTACCTTTTCAGTTCTGATTCTTTGTAAGTCTATCTTGTAATTTAAATATATAATAGAATCTCCTCTTTGTATCTTTTCTGGGGCAATCCGTAATCCCCAACAAGGCAGAACTTCTTTGACCATTTCAAACATACGTTCCAAAGTTTCTTTGAGTCTGATAAAAGAATATCATCCATATAATGATAAACAAGAGATTGTGAAAACTTCTTATGAAATTTTCAAAGGCTGCTGTACAAGCTTTTCTAAAGCTTCTAGCTTCTCAAAAGTCATAGGCCATTGTCCTACCCAAAGAGGTTCATCTGTAAGCCACTTCAATGGCAGGGCATTTGGTTCCTCTGAAGGTCCATCATTTGTAACTAGTTTCTGTACAGCCTTTATGGTTGGTAAGTGTTTTCCATACCATATTACCAGATCTTTTCTACTATCTAAAGACTGTACATAACTTGTATCTGACACTGGAGGAATGTTAATCTGAGTATTCCATTGCTGTAAAAGATAACAGCCCCAGAGATTTATAGCCATACTTGTCACATATGGTTTCAGTCTCCCTTTCTGTCCTTCCGGTCCACCACAGACCACTGAGTTAACACTGTCGAACTCTAGATAGAGTTCTAATTTCTAAAAATTGTACATCCACCTCTCTAAGAGGTCATTTCTGAGACCAAGACTTTTGGGTAATAATAGTCACATCTGCCCCAGTGTCTACTAAGCCAGTAATAACTTTATTATTAATTTTCACTTTCAACTGAGGCCTTTTATCATTAATAGAAATTTGCCAAAATATGTGTTTCTCATTTTGTCCAGTCCCATTTGATTCTTCATCACTTTTCAAACTACCATCTAGATCAGTATCATTTTTCACAATAGGCAAAGAACTATCTATTCCTCCTGTCTTCTAATGATACTGGGAATGACCAGACCTTTCTCAATGTGGAGGCCTTCTTGAGTCCGCCCTCAGGGTTTCCCAACCTTAACGGGTTTCCTTGCATGTCCCTTGTTGACCAACATTCATTGGTCCAGTGCTTGTCTTTACCACATCTTATACACAATGCCTTCTCTATGAGACATTGTTAGAATTTGTTTGTCTACAATTTCTTTTGGTATGTCCTATTCTACCACAGCTGAAACATCTAGGTTCCTGGTGCCTTCATGGTCTCCTGGGGAAGGCTCTTCCTACCCAAGTTTCTGGTTCATAGTAGTAGTAACCTCTAGCCTCTTGGCACCTATGTTGATCTCTGTAAGGTGTTTCTCCTTCCCAAGCCCTTGCATCCTCATCTCTAGGACTTTTAGTTTCCTATTGCCTTTTTAAACATTTCAAGATGGCTTCTCCTACCCAAGCTGCAGTATCTTGCACATTATAGTCAATGTTGGCTACATGCAAAACCCATTCTTCTAGCGGAGCTTATCTGATCTTTAAAGGCAAAAGTATTCTTTTGCATATTGGGTTTGCATTTACATAAACTATTGTATGTATAATTGATTGTCTTGTTTCTAGATCTGTTACCTGTAATTTCACTGCCCTAGTTAACATTTGTAAGAAGTCCTGGAACTGTTCTGTAGGTCCCTGTTCTATTCTGGTATAAGCTTCTAGGTGTTCTCCTGGCTCACGAACCTTATCCCAGGCATTTAATGATGCTTTCCTGCATAGGCACAGTATATAATTGTCATATTCAACCTGAACCTGTGGGTTAGCATAAATACCCTCACAAAGAATCTTATCTATGGGGGCTTAATAACCTTGGTTATGCATTGACGCTCTAGGAGCTTCGCTTCTTCCTTGACCAATGCCCTCCACTGGATTTGGTATGAATTCTCAAGTACAGCTGCTACCAATCTTCTCAATCTGTGGGTGTCACCCTGTTAAATGTTGCCCATGAGTGTAATAGCTGTTTTACGTATGGGCTATGGAGACCATATGAGACAACTGATTCTTTAATATTTTTAAGATCCTTTGGCTGTATAGGTTGCCATTTATAAAC